TGGTGCTCCCAATTAAACTATAAGTTTACATTACTACTCCCACTATCTTTAATCAGCTTTTCTTATGCTTACATGTAAGTAATTATGCTTAGTTGACATCTTCGTTGTTGTTTTTTGTTTTAATAAGAGGAAAAAATTATATAAATACTCATAGAAATTCAAATTTTATTTACTTTGCTTATCTATTTTAATTATGTATTTGATAAAATAATATAATTATATCATTACTAGTTTTATAGATCTTATAATATAGTAGTAGTTTTTAGATATATAATTTTATTTTTTGATTTCACACCACTTTTATTAAACATCATAACACGTAAAAGGAAGATATTTTTTTAGAGTACTGGAATCTTTATTTGGTTTTTAGAGAGTATTGTAAAATTTTGAATTTCAGAGAGTATTTATACAATTTTTTTCTCTTATTAAAACAAAAAGAACAACTAAGATGTCAACTAAGTATAATTACTTAAATGTAAGCATAAGAAAAGCTGATTAGGAATAGTGCGAGTAGCAATGTAAACTTATAGTTTAACTGGGAGCACCAGAGTCTTTTATTAAATTTGGGAGTATTATTGTAAAATTTCAAATTTCTGGGAGTATTTATATCAATTTTTCCTTTTTTATTCATAAACATTTTACAGTTAAAAACAACAATAATCACAATTTTTTTAAAAAAACAGTATTTTATGTTTAAAAACAGCTCTGCAAATGTATAGAAATCACCCTAAATAGGACTAAAACATAGAATAAAAATACTAAAATAAGATTTTCATGTTTTTTTCTCGAATTGGACTTTGCACTGTGGTAAACTGGTAATGTGACTTTGCACTGTGGTAATGTGGCAGTGTACATGTGCACATTACTATACTTTTTTAGTAATGTATATGACCATGTTTGGTAATGTAAGTCCTATTTCGAGAATAAACATATGAAAGTTTTATTTTGGTATATTTTCAATGTTTTAGTCCTACTTTGGTCTTTTTTTCCCTAAAATAATCACAGAATGTTTCAATTTTACAGAATAGTTAATTTAAATAATTTTTATTCATCAAAATTTAACACTTATAAACATCAAGAATCACAATTTTTTTAAAATGGTATTTTATGTTTAAGAAGCTTGCTTTTTTATTCAATTCTGAATTTAAGTCATTAGAACAGGGGTATGCTCTATTGAAGTAATTAAGTAACGAAACTTACCTTATTTTTTTTATTCGAAGTCATTAAATAAAAGGTTATTAACAGTAGTAACCATAATTAATTTTTAAAAAATGGAATTGCATAGGCCCTGTTTGGCATCAGCTTCAGAGATTAGCGTTAGCGTTTTGAAAAAGCTATTCGACGGTAGCTTTTAGCGTTAGCGTTTTCAGAATTAATCTGCACCGTTAAAATTTTATTCAAAACGCTAACGCTAATCAAAAACGCTGTTACCAAACGAAGCCATAATTATAGGGTCATGAATTATAAATTGCGTTGTGTTATTGACGATTCCAAATATAGAAAATAACCATTTATTATTTATACACATTTAACAGTTAAAAACATCAATAATCACAATTTTTTTTAAAAACGGTATTTTATGTTTAAATACGGCTCTGCGATTGTATAATCACAAAATGTTTCAATATTATACAATAGTTAATTTAAATATTTTTTATTCATCAATAGTTAACACTTTTAAAGATCAATAATCATAGTTTTATTTAAATTGTATTTTATGTTTAAGAAACTTGCTTTTTTTATACAATTCCGAATTTACGTAATTAGAACAGGGGTCCAGTAACTTCAAGTAATTAAATAACGGAACTTACCTTATTTTTATTCGCATACATTAAATAAAATGTTATTAACAGTAATAACCATAATTAATTTTTTAAAAATGGGATTGCATAATTATAAGGTCATGGACCACAAATTGCATTGTCTTATTGACGATTCGAAATATAGCAAATAAACATTTTTTATTCATACACATTTAACAATTAATAACATCAATAATCGCAATTTTTTTAATAAAAAAACGGCATTTTATGTTTAAAAATGGCTCTGTGAATGTATTATCATAGAATGTTTCAATTTTATACAATAGTTAGTTTAAATATTTTTTATTCATCAAAATTCAACACTTATAAACATCAACAATCACAATTTTTTTAAACGGTATTTTATGTTTAATAAACTTACTTCTTTTATTCAATTTCAAATTAAAGTAATTATAAAAGGGGTCTACTCTATTCAAGTAATTAAATAACGGCACTTATCTTATTTTTTTTATTTGAAGTCATTAAATAAAAGGTTATTAACAGTAACAACGATAATTAATTTTTTAAAAATGGAATTGCATAATTATAGGGTCATGAATAATAAATTCGGTTGTGTTATTGCAAATTTCAAATATAGAAAATAGCCATTTTTGCATTTAGAAAGTCAAGTCATGTGTTTAGACCCAACGGCTAAACTTTGACATGCATTATGTTTCATGCATCTATTTAATTTTTATTTCAATGTTATTAAGTCACATTCATGATTGCAATTCGATGTTCATATGCAGTGTAAATAGAGAACGTAATGAAAACTTAGTTAAAGAGGAGGAAATCAATTTATTGATCATTGTTCTAAAGCTTGATTAAAATTTGAAACATAATGAGTCACATGCATTGAAATAAAAGAAAAACAAAATCACAATGATTAATATGTCTTCTGAAAACAAAAAAATATTGGGAATAAATGGTAAAATATTACCTTTTATGGACAAAGAGATATCATGGCTCTTCTGTCACACAGTCACACAGATGCTTTTAATTTCCTGTTAAATACACACGGAATTAATTTTGGTAATTAATACCAATAGATACACAATGCACCCAGTATTTCCCTAATAGATTAAAATACACACGACATTAATTTTGGTAATAATTGGGAATACACACGGTATTAATGCTGTAAATACACACGGTATTAATTTTGGTAATTAAATAAAAATGCATTAAATACACACGGTATTTCCCTTTTATATCACATGGATTAATAATAACTGTAGTTTAAATGTAATAGATTAAAATTTAAAATCGATGGTCCATAAATGATAGTTATTGGGCGGGAAAAAGCATGGGGCATAATTCCCGTGCTTTTAAGAATAGGATGATACATAAACATAGATTTCTCATATTAGAGCGTTTTTCTCCATACTACTTATTTAAACATATTGATCTACATCATGTTTGCACTTATTTTCGCCAAATATCTACTCTTTCCATCCTTGAATATTTGTTCTTTTTAAATTTTTTTTGGTTAAAATTAGTACCCCTTCCGTCCCAATAAAGATTGGGACATTTTGACTAAAGTGGTAAAATAAGGAGGGATATTTTGGTGTTGGCTTTCCAAAAACACCCTTGATGTGATGGGTAAAAGTAAGATGTGATGAGTGGACGGAGGGAGTATTATTTTATAAAGAATTTAATATGAACTTAAAAAATGTAAAATTTATTTTAAATAGAGTATCATTATTTAAATAAATGGAATCTAAAATGAATATCAATTTGTCAAACAAGATTTTATTAAGGGATGGGGTAGTTTAATGTCCGTTACGAACCATGCATCACCTCGGAGAATTTCAAACATAGAGAACAGGTTAAAAAGTCATGGGCGTAACCTAATTTTAATGAGGGATGCTAGCACTCATTTTTATTTATATATTTTTTGTTTAATTTATTTGCCAATATATGTGACATTGGAGGGGGTGGTGTACACTTGGAGTATACTTTTGGTGTACTCCTATCATTTTTCAATTTTAATTTCCAAGTCGTTGTGGCGTTATGTCATCTTTATTGTCCTTCGTGTCCGTTAGTAATAGAATTTAGGATGGGATAGAGACAACTGAATTGGGCAATAAGATACTTGGGCTGAACCACATTAAAAGATTGAATCCAATCGATTAGTTATTCAAGAACTTGTATACCGATTATTTTACTCTTAGACTTTCAATGTAAGATGCACTCTAATAGTTAGACAGTTAATTATAGTCAATATTAATTATGATAAATTTTGTAGTTTAGTCAGTTTCTATAATTGTTTCTTAGTCCTAATTGAGATTGTATTCCCTTTTATATATATGTTAAAGGAAAAAGAATATTCGGAGAATATTTGGAGATATTTGTGTATATATTATTTTGGTACTTATTGTTTTGGTAGTTTTCCTTGTATATGATTCTTTCCTTTTCCTTTTCCTTTACTAATTAGGAGTCTCAACTTGTGAGATCCTAGATATATGTTTTCATTGTAAATTGTAAGCACGAGAACAAATACAAGAGAATTTCCTCTCAAATAATTCTTTCATGGTATCGGAGCCATAAACCTAGAAATTTCCGCGACCACTATTCACGATCGCCCGACATCGCGTCCATCGATCGTTGCTCAGTTGCTTCGCTGTTTTTGTTGTTGACGAAGGACGGAACGGTCGACCGTTGTGATAGAACAGTCGAACACATCGACCGTTTCGTCGACAGTTTGTCATGGTGCTGTTGCTTCGTTTTTTTCCATTCGACAAATAATCACCTGATATGACCTAGGAATTGTTAAATATAGTGTTTCTATATTTAAATATATTATGTATATATTATTGTATTATGAATATCCTAGTTACCATACATGTTTAGGTTACCTTAATTGTGTTTCCTAACATAACTAGGATTTTCCTCGTATATATTCCCTTGTAATATCACATTGTGAATTATTGGAAATAACAAATCTTTCATGGTATGAGAGGCTTAATTCTCGGCTTCCCGTTCCTCACCTTCGGCACTCTCTCTCTCTCACCTTCGGCTCTCTCTCTCACCCCCGGCCCTCTTCCGGCGACAACCATGGTCGACTTTTCTGTCTCCTCCGGCAAGGGAAACTCCTCCTCCAACAACTCTCCCAACTCTCCTCACCTAGCCTTCACAACCATATCTAATATCAAACTACACATTCCCGTGCAACTTAGCCTCCCCGAGCCGAATTATAAAAAGTGGAGTAGATTATTCCGTCTCTTGGTTCTCCGATTTAATCCCATGGGCTTCCTCGACGGCACCACCGTAGCCTCTTTCGCAACCGACTCCGAATGGTATCAATTCGATGCTTTACTCCAAGGATGGATCTTATTAACATTCACGCATGAGGTCTCCGATCTCGTTCTTGCCAACAACCTCTCCGCTCATGCGTTATGGACGTCTTCACAACGAACTTGGTGCCCAACAAGTAATGTCTCCATGTTCTCAAGCAATGTACCACAGCCGTCATCTCTTTCTCTTGAACCGTGTAACGACGTTCGACATCGTTAAGCTTACGACTCTCGTAAGCCACAGGATGACCTTTTTGCATTAGGACCCCTCCTAAGGCATAATCAAAAGCATCGGTCTGCACCTCGTACGGCTTGGTGTGGTCGAGTAGGGTCAACACTGGTTCCTTGATCACGGCTTCCTTGAGTTCTTCGAAAGCTGCTTGACACTTGTCTTCCCAATCCCACACTCGATTCTTTTTGAGAAGATCGGTGAGTGGAGCAGCTATTGCCGAATAGCCCTTAATGAACTTTCGGTAATAGTTGGCCAACCCAAGGAAAGAACGAAGTTCTGGAACCTTGCTTGGTGGCTCCCATTCTTGTATGGCACGTACCTTGGACTCGTCCATACGCAGTTTGCCCCCTCCAACAATGTGTCCTAAGAAAGTGACTTCCTTTTGAGCAAAAGCACATTTCTCCTTCTTCACGTACAACTCGTTCTCCTTGAGGACTTGGAAGACTTGTTGTAAATACTTCACATGATCTTCCAACGTGTCGCTATAGATGACAATGTCGTCCAAGTATACCACCACGAACTTATCCAAGAACAGTTGTAGGACTCGGTTCATGAGGGTGCAAAATGTTGCTGGAGCATTTGTGAGTCCAAAAGGCATTACCAAAAATTTGTATGAGCCATACCTTGTAACACAAGTCGTCTTGGGTTCATCCCCCTCGGCTATCCTTACTTGATAGTAGCCTGACCTCAAGTCCAACTTGGTAAACCATCGTGCTTGTCCTAGTTGATCGAACAAATCGGCAATGAGTGGGATTGGATACTTGTTCTTCACCGTAATCTTGTTGAGTGCCCGGTAGTCGATACACATCCGAAGCGAACCATCATGCTTCCTTTGGAACAACACCGGGGCTCCATATGGTGCTTTTGATGGACGAACATACCCCATGTCCACCAACTCCTTCAATTGCCTCCTAAGTTCCTCGAGCTCTAGAGGCGCCATGCGATACGGGACTGCTGCGGGCGGAGTGGCACCAGGAACCAACTCTATCTTATGATCCACCTCCCTCTTTGGTGGCAAGTTCTTGGGCAACTCTGGCGGCATCACGTCCTTGAACTCTTCTAGGACAAGGTCAACACTCCTTGGGAGATCCTCGGTAGGTGGAGGGACTTCTTCTTCCTTCAAGGCAACAAGGTATGTGGGCTGTTTCTTCTTTATGCCTTTAGAAAGTTGCATGGTCGAGATTTGCTTTTCTCGGAGTCGGGCTTCTCGCTTTAGTGGTACTAGACGAGTGTTGCCTTCATCCAGGATACACATGGTGTTGGCGAAGGGAATTGGAATGGCCTTGACTTTGTCCATGAACTCCATACCCAAAACAATTGGATAATCATCCATGGTTACGACGGAGAAGTCTATTGGGCCGTGCCAATCTCCTAGGCTTACCTTGACATCTTGAGCAACTCCAAAGGTAGCCATCGGTTTTGAATTCACTGCCTTAAGCCAACCACGTTCTCCTTTGAAATCAATGCCCAGCTTTCTTGCTTCTTCCTCTCTTAAAAAGTTGTTGGAAGCACCCGTGTCTACAAGAGCTTTCACGGTGTGTCTTCCGATCTTGGCTTCTACGAACAATCGGCCCTTCTTGTTGGACTTTGACATCTCCACCTTTGCCTTGATTGCGTTGAGGAGTTGTAGGGATCCTACTCTCTCCTCTTCACGTTCTTGTTCCTCCCTTTCTTCAATTAATGCCGAGAGTTTTGCCTTTTTCGGGCACTCCCTTGCCCGATGAGGACCCTCACAAAAGAAGCACTTTAGTGGAGGTCTCTCGCCAGCCTTGTACTCCTTGGATCCCCTTGTCTTCTTGGTCGTTTCTTTGTCTCGGTGGTGGTCTCCCCCACTCTTTCCCTTGCCACCCTTATCCTTTGGCTTTGGTTTCTCAGGCTTCTTGAACTCGATAAGGGATTCGGCAATGGAAATGGCAGTGGTTAAGTCTTGAGCCCCACGTCTCTGAAGCTCAAGTCTAGCCCATTGCTGCAACCCATCCATAAAGGCAAAGAAAGCTTCTTTATCAGGGTAGTCTGGGATTTCAAGAAGTACCTCGGTGAACTCCTTCACATATTCTCGTATGCTTCCTTTATGTTGAAGACGCCTTAACTTTCCCCAGGCCTCTTCTTCTACGTTATTAGGGTAGAACTGTTTCTTGAGTTCACTCTTGAACTCGGCCCAAGTGTCTATGGTGCACGTCCCTTTCTCCATATCTCCTTGTCTCCTTCTCCACCACACCATGGCGGTGTCCTCAAGAAAAAGACTTGCCATATCCACTTTCCGTTTCTCTTCGGAAATGGCAAGAGCTCGGAAATATTGTTCCATGCTCCATATGAAGTTATCAAGTTCCTTCGCATTCCTTGACCCTTTGTAGGATTTGGGTCGTGGAATATCTAACTCCGAGGGTGGAGTCCTTACCTCGGATGTCGATGGACTACCTTGTGCAAGAGCCTTCTTGCACAGCACGAGCTCCTCCTCGGCGCTCTCTAACTTGCGCGAGACTTTCTCGAGCTCTACTTGTATCGAAGAAACCTCGACCTTATGAAACTCCTCCATGGCCTTAATTCGTTCAAGACATTGAGCGAGGACTTTGTTCATGGCGGCTTGCATTTCCTCACGGGGAACTCATCCATGCCTTGCCCCATCTCCTCGAACTTCTCCTCCCCATCGGCGATAGCAAGTTCCACCCTTGCTAGCCTTGTCTCGAAACCGTCCATGGTCTCCCTCGAGCGAGATCTCTGGGTCTTGGTCTTCTTCTCGCCTCCCTTGGTCACGTTGGTAGTCTCACTTCCACCTTCCATCTTCCGTCAAACCTGGCTCTGATACCAACTGTCACGGACTTGGTCGTAATTCCAACGAACCGTGCGGCCTAGCGAACTTCTTCACTAAGTTGCTAGTCAGCCTACTCTCAGACTTAGCGGAATATCGAGATGCTAAGTATAAAGGAACTCGGACTCAAAGAAAGAACTTTGTATTACTTTCTCTCTCTAAGGCTTACAATGCTTCTCACTTCTTGAGAGTGAGTGAAATGAATGAGGGGGAGGGGTATTTATACTTCTCCACCTCCCCAATGGATGGCTAAGATCTACTTGATCTAACGGTTACAATCGAGTATCTAGAATACTCTACACAAATATCTAAGATATTTACAAGGCTACATGATATCTCTACACTACTCCATAATGTTCCAGAACCTTCCAAGCATCTCTAGCAAGTCTCCCATCTTTCTAGAGAATTCCTTAGTCTTCTAGACTATGGCAGATATCTCTGGAGAGTTCTTTGGACGGATCTGGACATCTTCAAATGGATTGGATCGGGTCTGGGTATCGAGCCTCCGCTGATTTTCAGGCAAACTTGAACGGTGCGTCACAATGTGCATTGAGTATTATTGGATTGAGTAATACGAAGTAAGTAAATTGTTTTACATGCTTCGGAATAACCGAATAAGATAGTCTGTAAGCAAATGTGCATTGTGTATTATTGGATTGAGTAATAACTAAATTGTCTTACATATATCCGAATAAGCTAGTCTAGCTGTTAGTGTATTATTATTGCATTGAGTTATATATACTCTCTTAGTTCGCGTATAATTAATTATACATGTATTATACATTTGTACGTATAATGTGTGTATTATACTTAAAACGAATTTTTTCATTTGACAAATATATATTGAGGAATTTACTTAAATACCACTAAAACATACAGAGTAATAAGTATCCCTAAATAGCATCATATATTTTTATTTTCCAATGTAGCACTTTTAGTTATTATCCATTAGTCATTATGCAAGTAAATATTCATCGTCACTGGACATTATTAATCTTCTTTCCAGACATTATTAAGTGCTATTTAGAGAATAAAAAAAGTTTAAGGCCTACATTAGTAAATCACTTTTGTTTTAGTCCTATTTAGTACTCCGTACAAATTTCCCAAAAAAAAATTACTCATCCCCACGGGTAAAAAGAGACTGCGTGAGCTCAAAATAATTAGAATCTGTCTTCTACCTTTTGGAAGAGCGTGCCTTTTGACGTCCCAAAAACGGCCCAGACGCCAGGTTTGAACGTGCACTTCGACCAGCGCCCCAATTAATTGGGTTTCTTTTCCTTTCCTTTTTTGGTCGTATTAGGGTGACTGCGATTCAAATAAGGAAAGCTTTTTTTTTCTTTTTAATACTCGCTCTGTATTTATACAACGCTAAAGAGAGTCTGCGACCTCCTTCAAAGTTTGTATCGGCGGAAGCAATTGATTTGGGTCTGTTTTTTTTTGGTGTCTTATTCTGTATTTCACCATATGACATATGCCTTTTGATTTTTATGTACTATTTCAGCATTGTTTTTAAGTTCAACATTCTACGGAGTATTGTTGTAGAAAATTTAGCGAAATTGAACTGCTTTTCATTAATCATAAACCGAAATATATACAAGTACATAAACGGGCTAACAAGTACAGGCACAATAACATAATATCTACGGTTAATTACAAATATCCGCTAACACTCCCCCTCAAGTTGGAGCATGAAGATCTCGAATGCCCAACTTGAATAGTAAGAAATCAAAAACAGGTTTGGCTAACGTTTTCGTAAAAATGTCGGCCAACTGATAACGTGTAGGAACATAGCGCGTAGACACCTCATGGCGTTGGACAGATTCACGAACCGTATGACAATCGACATCAATATGCTTCATTCGTTCGTGGAATACTGGATTCGCTGCAATATACAAAGCTGATTGATTATCACAATATAAACGCGGAGGATATAAAATGGGGACACCCAACGCGCCCAAAATACCATGCATCCAGCGTATCTCAACGCATGCATTGGCCATGGCCCTATACTCAGCTTCTGCAGAAGACCGCGCCACAGTTGTTTGTTTCTTCGTTTTCCATGAAACAGGAGACGTACCCAACATAATAAAATATCCGCTAACGGACCGTCGAGAAATAGGACAACTAGCCAGTCGGAGTCACAATAAGCTGTAATTTGAAGATTGCTTGTGGCGCTCGGAAAAATTCCCTGACCCGGGTGGCCTTTGATGTAACGCAGAACGCGTAGAGCAGCATTCATATGATCAAGAGTGGGTGCCTGCATAAACTGGGACAAAACATGAACAGCGTGACAAATATCCGGACGAGTGATAGTAAGGTAAAGCAAACGCCCAACTAGTCGACGATATCTTGCTGGATCGTGGAGAGAGGGGGTTGCCGAGGTGGCCAGGCTGTGCATCGTCGGCATAGGAGTGCCCGCCGGTTTGCATCCCAATAAGCCGGCCTCGTGTAAAATCTCCATTGCATATTTCCGCTGACAAAGGACCATGCCAGACGGAGACCGAGCACATTCAATTCCCAAGAAATATTTGACAAGACCCAGGTCTTTAAGCTGAAAACACCGGTCCAAGTAACGCTTGAAGGAAGAGCACATGGAAGGATTATTGCCTGCAACCAAGATATCATCAACATATACCAACACAGTAAGAATATCAGGACCACGGCGTAAAATAAATAAAGTGTGATCCTTGTGCGCTTGCTTGAACCCCCAATCACGAAGAGCAGAGCTTAACTTATGAAACTAGTTCCGAGGAGATTGATGCAACCCATATAACGATTTTCAGAGTCTGCATACTTTGCCAGGAATAGAATACTCAGGTGGTAACCACATATAAACCTCCTCAATGAGATCCCCATTCAGAAAAGCATTGTTAACATCAAGTTGATGAACCTCCCAATTTTTAGCCACAGCCACAGCCACAGATAATAAAATACGAACAGTACCCATTTTAGCAACAGGGGCAAAAGTATCTGTATAATCCGTCCCAAATTCCTGGTGATTCCCCAAGACCACAAGGCGTGCCTTATCCCGCTCTTTGGTACCGTCAGACCTGAACTTGGTCCGATAAACCCATTGACACCCCAAAGCAGTGCGATTAGGCGGAAGATCGGTGATGTCCCAAGTGTGATTATTCTCCAAAGCATCAATCTCCTGTTGCATAGCTACTCGCCAGTTAGAATGTTGCATAGCCTCCTTGAAGTTCCTAGGAACCTCATGTGATGTAATAGCTGCCAAGAAACCATGATGCATGTCATGTAATTTCTCATAATGAACAAAATTGTGGATAGGATACCGAGTACCTGAAGAACGAGAAGAGGCAACGGAAGGAGCAACAGGAGCCAATGGCCGGACTGTATGACAATAATAATCGGCCACGTGAGGAGGGGGTCGACGCTGACGAACTGGGGGTGGGGGTGACAGAGACGGGGATGGGGAGCTGACGGGGCTGTCTGGGTCAGTTCCCTCGTCGTTGCCGCTGGAGGAAGTTGGGGTTGCCGGGCTGCCACTGCCGGAAAAAGCCGCGGGGACAACCGGCTGGGAAGGAGGGCTGGGAAAATCGGCATGGGGCGGGGACAGGGAGGGGCAATTTTGGGGCGACGGGTTTTGAGGAATAGCAAACGGGAAGACAGATTCGTTAAACGAAATATCCTGGGTATGAAAGAAACGATGAGACTCAAGATCATAAACCCGCCAACCTTTAGTCCCGGTAGGATACCCCGTAAACATACATTTGAGACTACGGGTGTGGAATTTATTGGGAGGGTGTTGAATATTACGGACAAAATAGAGACACCCAAACACTCGGAGGTGAGACAAGTCTGGAGGTGTTGAAGAAAGAAGTTCAAAAGGAGATTTACCTTGTAAAAGTGGAGTGGGTGTACGGTTTATGAGATAAACAGCTGTACGAACGCATTCCCCCCAAAACTTAAGAGGTAAAGAGACTTGAAACATTAAAGACCGAGCAACATTTAGAATGTGGCGATGCTTACGCTCAACCCGACCGTTTTGTTGTGGAGTATTGACACAAGAGGTTTGAACAAGAACTCCTTTACTCGCATAAAATTCACGAAGGGGCCGGTTGAGGAACTCAGTACTGTTTTCAGAACGAACAACTTTTATGATTTTATGGAACTGAGTATGAATAAGAGAGAAAAATTGTTTCAAGCAACTAGTGACTTCACTTTTCTCAATAAGTAGAAAAACCCAAACAGCTCTAGAAAAATCATCCACAATAGTAAGGAAGTAATGTGACCCAGTAGAAATACAGGGAGAGTATGGTCCCCATAAATCACAATGAATTAAATCAAACAATTGTTCAGCTTTATTAATACTGGGAGTAAATGGAGAACGAGTCTGTTTGGAAAAGAAACAAATATCGCAAGACTGAAACTTTTTAATTTCAGTAGTGCTCTTATTAAACGTAGGGAAAGATAAAACTTGAGGAGATGGATGGCCAAGACGCTGATGCAACAAGGAGACGGACTCGACTTTGAATGCCTGGGCTTGAGATGGAAAGACATAGACTACGTTGCGTGCTAAACATTGATCAATCCGAATCTTCGTAGTTCGGTCCTGTATCACACAAAAATGATCATAAAAGAAAACATGACAGTTATGTGAGTTGACAAGACAACTCACAAATATCAAATTGCACTTCAAATTGGGAACATGTAAAACATTGTGCAAGATTAGGGAAGGGGACATTTGCACACGGCCACAAGAGTTGGCCACAACGTGAGTTCCATCGGGCAAACTGATAGTGCAAGGAGGCCGCGGCACGACATCGGTCAAACAATGCAACAAACCTATCATATGATGAGAGGCACCACTATCACAAGCCAATTCACAAGGCTCGGTAAAAGACATACCTTGCATTGAGGTAACATTACTAAAACATGAAGAGGTGATTTCTGGGGCCGAATTATCACCACCACATTGACACATGATAGTACTGCAGGAAGCCATGACACCAAAAAGAGAAATCCCCAAGAAGCAAACCTATTTGCAAGCAAAGATCTTGCCAATTCCGAAATGGCAGTCAACAAAAAAAAATCACCAAAAGGTGTACCCCATTTGTACACCACCCTCTCCATAACCACTCATTTATTTTTTAATTTTATTTACTTAATTTTTTTAAATTTCTTGACTATTTAAATGGTAATGGAGAGGGTGGGGGACAAATGGGGTACACCTTTGATGTACCCTTAGCATTTTCCAAAAAAAAATGCAGAGTCAAATTAATCTCCACAGCTACGCCGACCCAGATTTGCAAGAAAAAATCCAATATTGCACAATCAATGGAATTACAATCGCCGACCAACAGCAACAATCCACAACCAAAAATTGCCGACCAACAAAAACAAAAACTTATCGCCGACCTACTGTAACAATCGACCAAAATTGCCGACCAACAGCAACAATCGACCGGTCGACAGGCAGCCGGATGGCTTCTTCGCCGGAGAAGAGAAAGCGACGTCCACCTAAGGTTTCGGGCGTTGAAGACGTCGGAGAACAGGGACGCGGTAGGGTTAGGCTCCCATACCATATAGAAAATTTAGCTAAACTGAATTGCTTTTCATTAATCATAAACCGAAATATATACAAGTACATAAACGGGCTAACAAGTACAATAACATAATATCTACAGTTAATTACAAATATCCGCTAACAATTTTCAAGTCTTTTTTTAATTTTCTGGGTCATGCCATTGAATGTCTTTAAGGCTCTTCCCTTTGTGGGCATGTAAAAAGGATGAATTTTGCGGTGATGGGAGAGAATTGGAAGAGGGATTTCGTGACAGAGGCCAAGAAACAACTGTGGATTGCTTTTCCACTGTTTTTCGCTGCGGTCTTACAGTTCCTGCTGCAAGTTATATCGGTTATGTTTGTCGGCCGTCTTGGACAATCAACCCTTGGTGGCGCCTCGTTATCCATCTTTTTTGCATCCGTCACGGGTTTCACGGTTTTGGTATGGGAACCACTGTAAATCTGTTGTGTTTTTCGTGTTCATATTGTTATTCTTGAAATCTGCATAACAATATTCTTGTGTGATCTGATTGTTGTTACTGTCATCATGAAAGATGGGATTGGCTGGACACACTCTGCGGTCAGTCGTTCGGAGCGCAGAAGCTTCATATGGTTGGCATACATACACAGCGGGCAATGGTTGTCCTCTTGTCAGTATGCATTGTTATTGCTGCACTATGGGCCAACACAGAACGCATTCTGATCTTCATGCATCAAAATCACGAGATGTCAAGGGTAGCCGGGGTCTATTCGTATTACATGATCCCGAGCTTGTTTGCATACGCCATCCTCCAGTGTCTCACAAAGTTCTTGCAGACACAAAACAACGTTTATCCGATGATGCTCACCTCCATTGTGACAACATTGTTCCATGCTGTTGTGTGCTGGGTTTTAGTTTTCAAATCTGGTCTGGGATATAGAGGAGCGGCATTGGCAAACTCGATCTCATACTGGCTCAATGTAGCGTTGTTAGTCGGCTACATAAAATGCTCTCCGTCTTTTAGAGAAACATGGACAGGGTTTTCCAGAGAAGCCGTTCGAAACATCCCCACATTCCTCAAAATCGCGATACCTTCAACATTTATGCTATGGTGGTACATGATTTGAATGCACCGCCACATTTTTTATTATGAAATCTTTCCAGAGTTTAAGTAATTTTAGTGTTGCTGGCCAGAAACTTGTTTTGTAACACTTCTTGTTCTTCCTTTCCTTCATCGTGAATAGCTTAAAATGTTGGACGTTTGAGATTGTTCTTATTCTTAGCGGCCTACTGCCCAATCCCAAGCTGGAGACATCAGTGATGTCTATTTGGTAACACTCGACTCTTGTTTGTTTTAGTTAGATAATAACAGTTACCCAACAACAAAAAAAACAAATCTTTTGATTTTTCTGAATGTGATTCACCCTGATTACTAATGTGTTTAATTAATTGCTAGTCTGAACACATCTAGCTTGGTATGGATGCTTCCATTTGGCCTCAGCGCTGCAATCAGGTAAATCGTGCAATCCTTGTTTGTGCAATAGTAGTTATTACTGCAATCCGTATCAATAATAAGATTAAATGTAATGGGTTTATACAAGTACAGCACTCGGGTCTCGAATGAACTAGGAGCAAACCAACCAAATGCTGCAAAGTTGGCCACTCGAGTGGTCATGTTCATGGCGCTGGCACAAGGCATTCTTGTTGCGGCGTGCATGATTTCGCTGCGCAATCTGTGGGGCCATGTGTACAGCAACGAAAAGGATGTCATAAGTCATGTAGCCGCCATGATGCCACTACTTGCTGTCGCTAGCTTCCTCGATGGAATCCAGAGCGTGTTCTCTGGTATTAATCAATCATATTCAGGTCGAGCGCGGTCTGTTTTCTCTGTTCAAACCTCATCATAATCAGTTTTAAAAATTTCAGGCATTGCTAGAGGAAGTGGATGGCAGAAAATAGGCACAATGATCAATCTGGGGTCGTACTATATAATAGGTGTTCCATGCGCCGTTGTTCTCGGATTCGTTGTACACCTTAAAAGCAAGGTATATATATCTATATATTCCCGTAGTTGAAGTGACAACACGAACTATGACGGGTAATTGCGTTCATTTTTCAATTCAATTAGTACCTCTCAGGGTCTTTGGATTGGCGTTATATCGGCATTTGCATTGCAAGTCCTTAGTTTTCTTATCTTCACAGTTCGCACGAACTGGGAACAAGAGGTGGGTAATCCTTTCAATAGAGTACATGTAATTTTGGAACTTGTTGTTTCAAGGCGATTTTATGTTTCTGCTAAACATTCCCCGAAATTTGCAGGCTAGTAAGGCTGGTATAAGAGTTCAAACCCAAAGCGTTGTGGTGGGAGGCAACAACGATGTCATCACAGAAAGTCCGGTTTAGTTGAACGCCATAGGATTGCAAATGAGATTGATTGGATTGAACAAAGTGAGCTGTTTGATGTGTAAATGAGTAGTAATCTTTTATACTACCAACTCTTATTTTGAGTCAGGGGAGCAGCAGATGAGATGCTTAGTTTTCAGCCAATTAAGCCATTTTTGTTTCTTCCATACAAGTGCAGGTTGCATATTTCTTGTCCAGAAATGTGGATGAAATGACCACCAGCTTTGCTTTGCTTTGCTTGTTTCTTAGTATTACACAGTGCTAGGTTTGAATCAGGGAGGGATTTTGGTCTTTTGTTTTATTGTTTTAGTTTTAAGAGTGCATCTAACCAAGTTGTGATATGCTATTCTGGGATGACTTGTTCAAAACAGTCAGTGTGGCGGCTAATGTTGTGTGGGCTTTTAGCCTACTGGTTTGTACTTTTTTTTTGAAGTCTCTGGTTTGTACTTTAATATCCTTTTAAATACAATCTCCTTTTTTTAATTGAAACCAGTCAGTATGACAGTCAATGTTGTGTTTGGGCTCTTAAGTACTCCGTATTTTATAGAGAAATTTACTTAAATAGCACTAAAACATAATGACTTTCCTTAGATAGCATTACATGTGTTTTTCTTTCTAATGTAGCACTTTTAGTCATTATGCATTAGTCATTATTCAAGTAAATATTCGTCATCACAGGACATTATGGACATTATTAAGTGCTATTTAGGGAGTAAAATAATTTAAGTGCTATTTAGAGAAATGACTTAAGTTTTAGTGCAAATATTTCTTATTTTATACGGAGCATGTAGGTTTTTTTCTCTACTTGCGTTAAGTCTTTTACAGTTTCTTAATTTACTACTTTAACCACCATTAATACATATATTTTCGAATAGATATATCTTGTCATTCTTGTGTGAAATATTCGGATTTAATCAAAGTTATGCTAATTTGAAATCAATTTTGAATTTTGTAAATTTTGTACATAGAAGTAGATGACTTAGGGGGGTGTATTGATTGCATAGTTTATAGGACTTTTTTAGACTTTCATAATAAAAATAAATAAAAATAAATTATTCGGGCTCGTATAATCTCACGTAAAATATAACTATAAAATTCAAAGCTCTATTTAAAAAATAAATAAAAATAAATTACTCAATTTTTTTATCGATACATTTTTAAATATGATATCTTAATGTATGTGTGTATAAGAAAATAAAATTTTATTAAGGAGAAAATAGTACAAAAGGAAGTAACTGGCCAAACAAAATCCCCTCAAAGGAGAAAAAAGCATAACAAAAGATTAAAAACTTTTTTAAAAAAATACTAAGGGAAAAGACCAAGCAGAAAGAGAACAAAATCCTAACCAGCTTATAAATAATACTACAATCATTGCAGCATTAGTACCAAACATGAAACCAAAAAAACAATGTCAAATTTCAATGCATCAAAACTCTCTAGGAAGAATAGATAAGTAAGCAATACAGAAATAACTAAGATATTGCTATTACACATAATGTGTAGCCACAAATCCGGTAATAAAATAATCCCAAGGCAACATTAGTTAAGGTATTGCCATTACCTCTAGTGTGTAGTCATAAACCCAGCAACAAAAAAAACAGGAAAAGAAAACATAAACTTAATGGCAATGCAATATCATCTTCATAGAGCAATAATATAATTAGGAGTTAACTCAAAGCAATATAGTAATAGTCCATAAAGAGATAACTCAAATAAATATTGTAATAATCTGAATGCAACAAAAATATTAAAAGGGCCACTTCTTTTTACTACTTGCTTTTACAGTTATTGTTCTTTTTTTATGTGTCTTTCTCTTTTCTCTTACCTTTCATAGCTTGGAATGTAATATCTCTAGTTGCTTGTCTTTTCCTTTTTGGACACGAGCTCTTGAATATCCGTAAAAGATCCTCTACAAAATCATCTTCACTTAACTCCTCCTAAAGCATTGCCAACTTGCTATTGCTTAGAACTTTGGCCTTGCTCAAGTCATCATTTGTGCATTGTATAAAATGGAATTGTCATTATTAGAGGATCTTTTTCTTCCAATGTTGTGTACCTATCGACCAACCCTGTTCAGCATCAGTGCACAAAACACGTAGAGGTTGACATACACTTTGTCAGGGACAAAGTTGCTCTAGGCCAGGTCCGTGTTCTTCATGTCCTCTCTTCCTCCCAGTACGCCGACATTTTCACCACAAAGCTACCTTCTCTCCTCGTCTCCGACTTCAGGCACAGTCTTGGCATTCGCCCTTCACCGGTCACGTAGCTGGCAGCATGTTAAATATATTATTGTATATTTAATACTCCCTCCGTGCCCCTAAGATCTTCTCGTTTTGACTTTTTGTAGTTTTTAAGGAGAGTTGAAAAAAGGTAAAAGTTTACCATAATACCCTTAATGAAAATGGATGGAGTGTATTAAATGAGGTGTAATAAATAAAGTAAATGAGGATAGTTGTGGTATTTTAATTGTTAAAAAAGGTAATGAGAAGATCTATGGTGGATAAATAAAAAGGGTTAATGAGAAGATCTTTGGTGGACGGAGGAAGTATCTTTTATATATGGTAGATTTCCATTTGTATAGGGTTTCCTTATTTATATCCTACCATAGTTAGGAGACTTGCGATTGTATATATACGGCAAAGTTGAAACATTTCAACGTGGCAAAGTTGAAACATTTCAACCAATAACAATTTATCGTGTGGCAAAGAAGTAGATTGCATGCCATGTAGTGCAAAAATTACTGCCAGGTATCCCAAATTTTGTAGTAAGAAGTACTAGGTCCCAATGTTTTTCAGAATATACTCCTAGGGTACCAAAATTTTCAAACAAATGTCGTCGACATTCCATCTAACTCCCGTTAGTTATATCAAAATGTCTGATATATCCTTTATATTTCTGAGCAAATGTTATTATTTTTACGCAGCATCTTCTCTAAAGTACATTGTGTTTCTCAGGTTCCCGATCACATTCGCGGTGACCCGTATCTACGTCGTCGTTTGCCTGTAACATGATCACGGTTGCACTGCATGTGTACGTTTATTCCTTTTTAAAATATCATTGGGCTGACATCAATGAAGCCACTAGACGTGTTTCCAAAACTATGAGGAGGCCATCCACTAGATGTATTCTTTAATTTGAAGAAAGTGAAGATGATGATGATGGTGATGAAGAAAGTGAAGATGATGATGGTGATGAGGAAAACTGTTCAAGCAGAGAGGATGTCTCCATGGATTAAGGGTCGGGTCAGAGACAAATGAGCAATAATTGGATCTTGATGCTAGTAATTAATCAAATGAAGTTGGGTCATATATGTTTCTATTTTAATACTTTTTTCTTTGTTTTAGTCTTATTTAAAATGATTTGTATAATTTAAATTAAAAGTAAACCGTACAGAAAAACAAATTTAAACAAACAAAAGGGAAATATTTGGTTCACTAACAAAATAGTCACAAACTTCATAAATTTACTATTTGTGAACTTCAAGAAGTAAAAATAAATAGTCTAAAATAATTTTAAAATGAAAATTTAATCCATAAATAGTAAATTTGTGAAGTTTGTGAATAGCATTGCTCCAAACAAAAACATAGAGTATTATTTAAAGAATACTAGTGTACCTTGAAAATAATGAAATTATATCAACTTGTTCATTATCCGTCCATCCACCAGTTTAGATTCCCAAAAAAACTCACATTCAATGAATTCAACAATTTTGAATCTACACGGCTTAGCTTCAACTCTGGGCTGTTAAAAAAAAAGATGTGCAATACCAATTGTGATTTGAAGAATTATTTATGAACTTTTATAATTAGATGACTAATTATACATAACTCATTTAATTGAAGAATCAATGATGTAATTTTTTTATTTTTAAATTGTTATTTTAAACCTTTTTGTCAACTGAAACACACACACACATATAATCACCATTAAATTTTCAATTATAAAATTGATTGTTCATACCATTCCTAACATACCCAGTTACACACCATGTCCTCCTTAACCACCGTTGAATTCAATTTAATGGTGATTAAGGGAAGGGAAAGGGAGCATGGATAGGACTCTGGTGAGTTAGGATGGAGTTTAGGGAATGCGAGTTAAAACAAGTAGGAATCATAAATTTATCGATCGGAGCATCTTAGTAGGTAAAATAGTTACGTTAAGAGCATCTCCAACCATAGCATTTTAACTTGCTAAAAGTTATAATATAGCTAGCAAAACACTTTTGTTCTTCTCTAAGGGGTGTGCTTTATTTTAGCAACTTTGCTAAAAAATGACTTTAGCTTGTTAAATATGACAAACCCCTCAAACTTTAGCAAGCCAATATTTAAAAAATAAAATAGCAAATTATGGTTGGAGAATAAAACAAAAAAGTACTTGTTATATTACTAGTCACTTGATATAATATAAAAATAGTAAATTTATATAACAAGCATGGTTGAAGATGCTCTAAGTTGAGGAGTTAGCTCAACTCACGGGTTCAAAGCTTCAAATTGAAACAAAATATGCTTGGAATCATTTGCTTTAACTTACCCACTGAATAGACTCAATAGTTTCCCTTTTATTTTGACTTTTGATTAACCCAAAATATACATTTTACGGATAATTAAAAGGACCATGCTAGGGTGCCACCACATGGGTGCACCCTAGCATTTTCCTAACTAAAATGGAACACTTTTGGCCGTTTGAACAGAAAGGTTGTAGCCCATCCCCACTATCATCATGTATGAGGCCCACCATCTTCATCTTTTATTCCAAATAAATTAATCATGAAATAAGAATAAGAATAAAACATAATATTTCTTTTTAAAATAAAAATTTCATGTTTTTACAATGACATTATATTACATACTTCTTTCGTCCCTATTTTGATTACAAACTGCAAAAAACAAAGAAAATTTTTAAGTTTTTTAATTTATTTAATGATTGAGACATTGAAAAAAATAAAACTTACTTATTTAAAAATTACATTAAAAGTTTTACAGAACAAGATGTTATAAAAATATTTTATTTTATCTAATAATCAATGAAAATGCACAAATAAACAAAAAATCATAATTTTGGAATAATAAACATTATAATGGGTAATTTACCTAAATAGGACTAAAACATAATGACTTTCTCAATATAGGACCATATGTTTTTATTTCCCAATGTAGGACTATTGGTCATTATCTATTAGTCATTATTCAACTAAATGTCCAGCATCACTTAAATATTATTCTTCTCACTAGTCATTATTAAGTTCTATTTAGGGAATAGAAATATTTATGTCCTACATTGGGAAATGACTTATGTTTTATTCCTATTCAGTGCAAATTTTACTATAATCAATTGTAGGACGGGAGAGTATTATGATTTTGTATAGAGGCATTGCAGTGTGATTTTGTGACACCATATAATGACATCAACATATACTCCCTCGGTCCCAAAATATTCATAACATTTGTTTTTTCAGCAGTCGTGGAAACTTTTGTTTATTTCTACGTTTTCATTGGTTATTTGATAAAATAAAATATTCTTGACACCTCTTATTTCGAAGAACTTTTCATGTAGTTTTTTGATATGTAAATTCTATTTTTTTATTTCTATACCAATATGTATATAAAAGGAATTGAAAAAACTTGATATTTTGTCTCGAGAATACAAGTGTGGCAAATATTTAGAGACGAATGGAGTATATATTTTTTATACTCCCTTCATCCCCAATTTGATTAAAAATTGCGGGTTACGAAGTAAAATTTCCTACTTTTTGAAATCATTTTATTTACAAATTGGTATATCAATAAGATATAAGAATTACACATTAAAAAACTACGTCAAAAGATCTACAAAACAAGAGATGACAAGAATATTTTATTTTATCAAGTACATAATGAAACCGCGTAAACAAACAAAAGTTATTGTGATTATACACTTATTTTGGAATAAAAAATATGGATTTCTTATTTCGGCCTAATTTAATCCTTTTCTCTTTATTTTACTCATTCATTTCAAATTTATAATTTTTATTTGTTTTACAAAAAATTAAAAAAAGTGTTACAAAGAACAAAAAGAATGGAGAGTTTTATTTGGTCGTAGTAGGCGTCTATGCCATAAAGTTGAAGTTTTTTTTTTGTTTAAATACAGAGCCACGGATTGAGACTGCGACCCCGCCGATTCCCCAGTTCCTATTTCCCAACTCCGGAGCAATTGCTGCCGGCGTATTTGCCCATTTGCCTAAAAGCTTTATTTCAGCTTCAAAAGCCATTGAATTTGCCAGCAGCTACGCCCTGTTTGGACCTTCCACTGACCTCTAGGTTCACCCTTCATCTTTCTTTAAAAAAATGAATTATTTCAATTAATTTTGTTCTGCTTATGAAATTTGCTCAATTTACTCTGGGTTTTCACTATTCTTTTCATTCATATCCACCTACCCGTCCCATTTGCTTCATTCCCAATCTTTTTGATAGTTTTCGTTGCTGTATTTTACTTCTTGTTTTCTGTTTTTTTTGTTTTTAATGAACAATAACTTATGTGAAAATCTTTTAAGAAGTAGTTTGAGTATTGTTTTAAATATTTTTTTGCACAGAGATTTTTGTTCATACAACTAATGCAGAGGTTTAATTTGCAGATTTGAATTTTTTTAAAAGGATTTGTTTTGCACTTTGAACTTATAAGTAGATGGTCTATTTGTTTTCGGTGTTTCATTTGTGAATCTGGAATTCTCTCAATTTGCTTGTTTGTGGAGATGTACGATTTGGACTCTGAATCTGAGCCATGTTTTAATAAAATGTACTGCACTATATTGTTTTTATCCTAAGGATGTTTTTTTTCTCTCTTTTCCAGCATCATGGAAATCCAGAATCCATTTTTCAGTTCCATTCAGTTTTTTATTTTCTACTTTTTTTTGTTTTAACATCTTGCCAAATTTCAGTTTCAGATCAAAGACAATGGACAATGAACCAATGAAAGAAAAAACGGTACTTCCACTCTACCCTTTGCAGCCGTGTAAGGAAAAATTGAGGGATTTTGTGATGATGGGAGGGAGTTGGAAGAGGGATTTTGTGATAGAGGCCAAGAAACAGTTGTGGATTGCTTTCCCACTTTTTTTCGCCGCCTTGTTGCAATTCTTGTTGCAAGTTATGTCCCTAATGTTTGTGGGCCGTCTTGGAAAATCAACCCTTGCCGGCGTTTCCCTATCCATTTCTTTTGCGTATGTCACCGGTTTCACCGTGTTGGTATGCATCCACATGAATCAATCAGTCATTCATTTATTTTGTTCAATGCTTTTCGAAGTTTCACAAGTAATTATATTGATGCTAGATGGGATTGGCAAGTACGTTGGATACACTATGTGGTCAGTCCTTCGGAGCTCAGCAGCTTCATATGGTTGGCGTACATACGCAACGTGCGATGGTTGTCCTCCTGTCAGCATGTATTCTCATTGCTGCATTATGGGCAAACACAGAACGTATTCTAATTGTCATGCATCAAGATCATGAGATGTCAAGAGTAGCAGGGGTATATTCGTATTACATGATCCCGAGCTTATTTGCATACGCCATCCTACAGTGCCTCATGAAGTTCTTGCAAACCCAAAATAATGTATATCCGATGATGCTCGCCTCCGTGGTGACAACTTTGTGCCACGGTGTTGTGTGTTGGGCGTTAGTTTTAAAATCTGTCCTGGGATATAGAGGAGCCGCATTGGCAACCTCTATTTCCTACTGGCTCAATGTAGTGTTCTTGGCTGGCTATATAAAATGCTCTTTGTCTATCAGAGAAACTTGGACTGGGTTTTCCAAAGAAGCCATTCAGAACATTCCTACTTTCCTCAAAGTTGCGGTACCTTCGACATTTATGCTATGGTACGTTACATGATTAGAATACACCTCCACATTTATCAATTACAAAAATCTTTCTACAGTTGAACTCGATTAATTTTAGACGTTCTTATGGGTGACTGTTTTTCATTGCCTCCATCGTAAGAAGCTTAAAATGTTGGACGTTCGAGATTGTTCTTATACTTAGCGGCCTACTTCCTAATCCCAAGTTAGAGACATCAGTGATGTCTATTTGGTAATATTCAATTCTTATTTGCTTTAGTTTGATACTCATAGTTGTTAATCATATTTTTTTTTACTTTTGATTTTTTGATGCGGTTTGTACTTATTACTACTTTGTTTGATTGCTAGTCTCAATACATCTAGTTTGGTATGGATGCTTCCATTCGGCCTTAGCGCTGCAATCAGGTAATTAAATCGTGCAATCCCTGCCCGTGAAATATTAATTATAACTAGTATTTAGATTAATTGTAATGGTTTATATAAACATAGCACTCGAGTCTCAAATGAACTCGGAGCAAACCAACCCAATGCTGCAAAATTAGCCACTCAAGTGGTCATGTTCATGGTCTTGGCACAAGGCATTCTTGTTGCAACAGCCATGATTTCACTGCGGAGCCTCTGGGGCCATGTCTATACCAGAGAAAAGGATGTCATAAGACACGTAGCCAGCATGATGCCACTACTTGCAGTTGCTAGTTTCCTCGATGGAATTCAGAGCGTGCTCTCGGGTAATCATATTCCGGACATCTCAAAACATTATAACAAACAAGCGCACACCCAAATTCAGATCAAGTATGGTAATACTCTTGTTCAAACCTCATCATTATCAATTTTCTTGTTCAAAATTTCAGGCATTGCTAGAGGAAGTGGATGGCAGAAAATCGGCTCAATAATCAATCTTGGTTCATACTATATACTAGGTGTTCCATGTGCCGTTGTTCTTGGATTCGTTTTCCACCTTAAGAGCAAGGTGTGTAATCTATATACTTCCTTCTTCCTATAACTAAACTCACAACACACATTATCATAGGCAGCTGAATTCTTTTTCAATTTATTTATAAAAGGGTACACAATTTCAAGGGTTCTATGAAACAAGTTGTGACATGGCTATATTATTTTAAATAATAAATAACGAAAATTATAAGTAAATACCATACTTTTTTTCGGCCCGTGAATGTTGTCCAATCTAGCTACTCCGAACAAAATATATAATCATAGATTGATCAGTTACATCAACGTTTACTACTCTCTGGGTCTATGGATTGGCGTAATATCCGCATTTGCAGTACAAGTCATTAGTTTTCTTGTATTGACAATTCGCACGAATTGGGAACAAGAGGTAGGTAATCCTTGCAATAGCTAGAGTACATATAATTTTTCAACTTGTTGATTTAATTAAGGTGATTTTTTTAGTTCTGCTAAATATTCCACGATTTGCAGGCTAAGAAGGCTGTGATTAGAGTTCAAAATCAAAGGACTGTTGTGGAAGGCGCCAATGATGTTGTCACAGAGAATCCAGTATAATTAATAATATGCCATGGGATTGCAAAGAAGATTGATTGAGTCGAATATAGTGAGCTAGAATGTGGGTAAATGAGTAATCTTTTATACTACTTCTTTGGTCCCTAAATAATCGTCCTCTTTACTATTTGAGGCTTTCGATAACTTTTATTTGCATACGTGTTTTCATTGATAAAATAAAACAAGCATTTCACCACTGGGTTTGTAAGATTTTTGATCTATTTTTTTTTTAAATATGTAAGTTATACCAATTTTTAAGTAAAATCAATTTTAAAAAGATGAGATTTTGTACGTTGTTCGAAACAGGACGATAATTTTGGGACGGATGGAGTAAGGAAATCTATCCAAATAGGGCTTAACCATTAAATTTAGACAAAAGTAGGACTTTTTATGTTTTTAATTCTAAACAGGTGTGTTGGCACTGGCCACTGCCTTACTATGACATTGTTAATATTTCAGTGTTTTTGACATTATATATTGGCGCTCTTTGGCATATGCGTTCTATTGTAGTATAAAAGTATTGAAAGTTTTATATCGATTGATTGATGTATGGAGGATGTTTTGATTATAGTTCGGTAGTTCTCATTTTAGGTACCAACTTTATTTTGCATTACTTCGTGACCTCTTGTAAACATTTTTTTTATCAAATATATTATGACATAACAGATTAATATTTTGTATTGTTTCATAATGTTACGGAGTATTTATCAATATGTCCTAGGACAATTTTGTTACAGTATGGAGTATAACAAAGGGTGTTTCCAAGAGTAACATCTAGGTTGAGAAGTTGACAACTTAAATGATTTATAATATTAAAAAATCGCGAGAATTTTTGTTTATTAGTATGTTTTTTTGACTATTTGATGAAATAAAATAATCTTGTCACTACTTGTTTTTTAGAAATTTCGATATACTTTTTAATATGTAAGCTATTTTATTTATATACCAATCTTTAAATAAAATGAATTGAAAAAATTTAGTATGTTATTTCGTTTTGCGTAAAGTGCAAATCATTTAGAGAGGAACAGGGTATCTTTTATTCTTTTGGCTTCATTGATGAATGACATTTTCAAATAGTGTTAAAATTTTGTATATTTTTTTTAACGATTCAAGTTTAACTTTGCAAAAGTTAGAATATAAAACCTTTCTTGAGTCTACAATTATTAAAATAATTTTTGTTTCAAAAAAAAATTAGGAGGGGATAAGGATCATTGGACTAGATCTTAAAATATTTGGGTTAAATCACATTAAAAGATTGAGTTCAATCCATTACTTATTTCAATTCAAGAGCTTGTATGCCTATTTGTTTTCTCTTCAAGTTTCGATGTGAGATACCCTTTAATATACTCTCTCAAATAGACAATGAGGACAATTTGAATCTAACCAGTTAACTAGTTGCAAATGGGCCCCCCTCCCTAGAAAATGAAAGGATCGAAAGTGCCAAATCTAATGGACCACGAGTTGCTGGACATGACTTTTTAACAATTACAAGTTTGAGCTTTTAGTTGAATATTTGAGTTAATTCATTGACAAAGCATCAAAGTCTTGTTGACCAAGAGATCGCAGGTTTGACCATTTTGAAAAAAAATAATATTATTTGACTTGCAAGATTCCAAGTAATCACACATTCACACTTGCTCACTCGGCATTGTAATGACTCCAAACATGGCACCGTAGGTGCCCCAAACGAACTGGTGTGGGGGTTTAGGGGGAGGGTTAGAGGGGGTTGGAACCGTCATTTTTATAAACATGGCACCGTAGGTGCCCCAAACGAACTGGTGTAAGCAAATGACACCAGTAGCACTGGTGTCATTTTAGACTTACCGTATATAATATATGTATAGTTGTATACTATTTTTCGAATAAATTAACTCAACCATTGTAAATGATACAGATAGTTAATTAGAATATTTTAATTAGTTACATTATATTATTATTATTATTATTATTATTATTATTTAATAGTTACTTATTATTATTTAATGATGTTTTAGGGTTTTAGCATGGGCCCGAGCCCATTAGGTCAATTAGACTTATCTTCTTTCTTTATATATTGTAACCCTTCGTTATTATTATTCAAGCAATCAATAATCAAGAATTATCTTAATCTCTCGTCTCTCTTTTCTTGGAGCCCGGAAACGCTCGAAGTTTTCTTTCTCCCTTTGCCTCCCATTTCTTGGAGCCCGAAGACGCTCGAAGTTCTTCCCTATCCGATACGATATTCGTATCAATTGGTGCTCTCATTGATTTGAAAACCCAAACAAAACCAAAAAAAAATTGATTGCAAATCTGGTGCAATTTGGTTTCTCCGCCAATAAACATCAATTGAAGGAGTTTGATCGTGCATCATTATCAATTGACAGTGCACAATCGAAATCTCTTGCCCGATACAGGACCTCCTTCCACCCTGCTGCAAACCAGAACCTCCTTTCACCCTCCACCGCCGCAGCCGCCACCAGAACCTCCTTCCACCCTGCTGCAAACTCTACATTAAAAACAATATACAGAGTATATTTTTGCGGGTTAGATCGCAGCCCAGCCGTCCAATGATTGGTGCGGCAGATCCACCTCCTTGCTGCTGATACCATATTCCAAAAAAAAAAAAAAAAGAGCACCCCAAACTTGTTGTTGGCTTGAGATCAAAATAGAGCAAGAGTGCTCATTGCCGCACTCCACTTTTAATCCCCAATGATTGGCCAATATTGTTACAAGTTTTGGCTACACAATTTGCAGACTGCCAAATTACTTGTCGTCATCAGCAACAACAGCAAGCCATCAAATTGAAGTGGTCCCCTTTTTGTCCTTGCTCAAAATCAGACTACAGCCGTTAGAGGTGGCCACTCAAGAAAAAAAAGCCTGAAAGTAGCCCATCATGAAACAAGATTTTTCATTCCGAATGGAGGCCCGATTCAAGCGGTTAGAGATTTTGATTGTGTATGTATACCCATGCATTGGACAGACTTATTGATCTATTGGAGAATGTTTATGGCGAAATTGAGCACGACGACGGAGTGTGCACACTCTACGATCAAATAGATGAACTTATAAAGAATCTTCAATCCTTCCGTTCTATTGGAGGTAAGCCAAATTATGATTCTGACTTACACGCATTTGACATTGAAATCTCTTGCGCGATATAGGATTTGGTCCGTGGGCCCCCAATTTTGCCGAGTTTGATTCCTTGGGAGTTACAACACTTTCGAACAGGCATGTTGGGCGCTATAAAAGTTCTCATTGATAGTCCGCCTTCTGTGCCAAATCTGGTCTCTACTGTAATTGACCGAAATGCTGAAGCACATGATCACGCATCCAAGAAGAAACCAAGCATTGACTCACAAGTTGGAGATGATGTGGACATCCGGCATGAAGCCATAAACAAAGATAATGGGAGGTCCAACATTGTGGAAAAAATAAAAGTCCTCTTGCAGAAGATGTTGTTAATGTTGGCAAGCCAGATTCTACTTTTCAGGAATTGTCTACCTCAGCTGGTGTGGTCATTGCTGAGTATGATATTCCTAAAAGTGTTGATATTCCAACAAGCACACTCACCTATGTTGATTGACACCATCAAGTTGTTGGAGCTTGTCGATGTGGCCAAGACGGAGCACCTGGTTTCACCGAGAGCAACTACATATGTTATGCGCCCCGTCTCTTTTTTCCCCAACTTTGGTGCAAGAACCAAGTTGCGTGAAGATTCAAAGAGTGGACTGCTCCTTTGGTTTAGCATTCTGTCTCCAGTCTTAAAACACGAGTGGGAGCCTCCACCTTGAGGACAAGGTGGATTTTAAGGGGGTGGGAATGATACAGATAGTTAATTAGAATATTTTAATTAGTTACATTAAATTATTATTATTATTATTATTTAATAGTTACTTATTATTATTTAATGATGTTTTAGGATTTTAGCATGGGCCCGAGCCCACTAGGTCAATTAGGCTTATCTTCGTTCTTTATATATTGTAACCCTTCGTTATTATTATTCAAGCAATCAATAATCAAGAATTATCTTAATCTCTCGTCTCTCTCTCTTCTTGGAGCCCGGAAACGCTCGAAGTTTTCCTTCTCTCTTTACCTCTGCTTTCTTGGAGCTTGAAGAACGCTCGAAGTTCTTCCCTATCCGATACGATATTCGTATCAGTAAATCAGAGCGAAAATATTATTTTTAGACAGATGACTGATTAATTAAGTATGAGATCCTTGTTAGTAAGAAGTAAGAACATATCTCTCTCCACCACTCTAAAATTATACTCCATCCGTCCCTCTGTATTTGTCCACTTTCATTTTTACACACTATCCAATGCACTTCTTTAATCCATTTTATCTTGTAATTTGTATATTAAAAAATTATAAAAATTATATACTCCCTCCGTCCCACTGTTTTTGTCCACTTACCTTTTGGCACACCATCCAATACACTTCTTTAATCCATTTTATCTTGTATTTTGTATGTTAAAAAATTATACAAATTATATATTAATAATCTATATGTTAAGACGAATCAAACAAGATCACACATGACTATTTTTAGGCTTACACATTAAGAGAATTTGATGAGTCAAAGTGCTTAAATGAACAGTTCCAAAAGTCAAATGTGGACAAAGACAATGGGACGGAGGTAGTATTAATAATCTATATATTAAGACAAATCAAACAAGATCACACATGCCTTCAAAAAAAAAACAAGATCACACAGGACTATATTTAGGCTTACACATTAAGAGAATTTGATGGGAGAAAGTGCTTAGATGAACAGTTCCAAAAGTCAAATGTGGACAAATACAGGGGAACGGAGGGAGTAATCCATTTCTCTCGGCCTACTATTGGGTCCACATAGTGGAAAACCATGCCATGGGGAAAGAGTATTTCTTTTTCTAGGTTGCTAAATCAATTTTCTTTATAAAAAAATATTTGAGAAAAAAAGCACAAAGACGATAAGCGTTGCGCAGTTAGTAAGATAAGGAGTGTCAAGAGGTTAAGAAACGAGTTTGATTTCTGACAACGTCGCTAAGCATAGGACCTCTGCAAGTACTAAGTGCAGACTCTACTCTTTCCCACCAATCTACGATCAAAATCTAACTTACTTCCTCACTGACCGTCCGACCAAGTTTGAGAGAGCCCTCGGGGATGAGGTTTATCCTTTTGAGAAAGAAAGCACAAAAATTGTCTCATAAGAAACGTGTTACACCGTAGAAGATTGCTGCTAGGAGAAAAAAGACAAATACTTCCTATCCCCCAAAATAGATTACATACATTGTTATTATCTTAGTTATCCGATAGCTTTAATTTGTTTTTATGTTTTTATTGATCATTTGACAAAATATTTTTGTTATCACTAGAGTAAAACATAAAGAAAGTACAAAATAAAATTTTCATATTTTTTATCCCCATAATAAGGAGTTTATAGCACCATGACCCCCTGTGGTTTGGTAAATGTGCACCGTTGTTCCTATGGTTTAAAAACTTATGTCGTTAGGTTGCCCCTCATGATTCTGATATTGCTACGTTAATGCCCCTCTAGACTAAAATATCCTTCAAATATCATGTGAACACCTCCACTTCCTCATATGGTTTTGAAAAGGAAAATATTACCCGCACGGGTAGCTCAAGTGGCAAACACTTGGTGAAGTTTGGAGAATGACCAATGATCGAAACCTGGCAGCGACCGTTGTGGAGGCGACCACCTCTGAAAAATGGGGGGAGTCTCTGGTGCGCACTAGGATATGGTCTAGCTAAGTGTTGTGCTTGGGTCACCGTGATTTACCTCCTCTCACATTCCCGTCGGGTCGGGGGTGAGGGGCGCCCGGGGTGAGCGATTTCACCTTTTTGGAGAATTGAAAAGGAAAATATTATTTGTACCCCAAGAATTTGTACCCCATTTTGTACACCGCAGGGATGCACCAACATTTTATGTTGGTGTAATGCTAATTTTTGTTAATTCACCAACACTTTGTGTCAGTGTAAATTTTTGTTAACGAACCAACACTTTATATCAGTGTAAACCATCAAAATGTTGGTGCATACCTTTGGTGTACAAATGAGGTACAAATTTTGGGATACATGTAGCACGCTCCTTTTGAAAATTGGCACAAACGCCCCCTCTTTTCTTTATTGTTTTTATTTTTTCTACTATTTTTCATGAATGTTTTTTAATTTCTTTTTTAAAATTATTTTTTGTAATGTTTTAATAATCAAAGTTTTTTGTGTTTGCAATAAAAATAAATTAAATAACAAGAATCAACGTACACTTCATTGGTCTCAAATTAAATGTTTTCATTTTTTATCGAAAAAATGTCTTTATTAGTTCATTTTCATAAATTCGAAAATCAATGAAATTTTCTCTTTTTTTAGTAAAGCTCATTTCTCATTTTCTGTTCATTAATTTTATACCATTTATTTTAATTTAATCAAAATTAAAATAAAAGAAAAAAAGAATATAAAAGAAAATAAAGAAAAAGAAAAGTATTTGAAAAAATACTTTTATAATAGAATAGGGAAAATTAAGTCATGAAGATAATCCTATGCGCATTAGTCCAAAAAAACACTATTAATATATAATTAACTATTTATTAAAAAGATGTTAAACAGGTTTATTTTGGTCCCGACATATTCAAAAAGATAAAAACTTTTTTAGACAAAAAAATGAAAACATTGAATTTGACAAATGAAGTATGTATTAAATTTTTTATTTCAAACACAATTTTTTTTAAGTTTTTTAAAATGTAGGTTTGGCAAAACAATCTTTCATTATTTCACACACAAATATTTTTCTTCTCTTTATGATAAAAAAACAAAAGAAAAACAATAAAGAAAAAGGAGAGAGGGCGTTTTTGGTGTCTTTTTCCAAAAATATCACCTAATATTAATATTTTAAGGATATTTTTGCTGAGAGGGGTTTTGGCGTAACAATATCAGAACCATGAGGGGCAACTACAAAAGTTTTAAAATCATGGGAGATAACGGTGCACATTAACCAAACCACATAGGGTGTTGGTGCAATAAACTCCCATAATAAGAGTCCAATGTCAATAATGTTAATGTATAGCGGGATGTTACTATACAGTGACATAATGTTAGGGGCGGAGGAGAGGGGGCACTCCTAGGCATGTGCCCCCCCGGTGATTTTCCGGCGAAGTAGAGCCTGTGTAGTTCCACGGCTACCGGCGGCGAAGGTGCGCCGATCGTGCCCCCCCTGTGTCCGTTGTTGAGTCGAGAAAGACGATCGAGCTTCTTTTTTAATCAGTACGCGTTTTCCCAAAAAAGCACAAGTAGAACGACGTCGTCGTGCAGGAGTTCTAGCCTAGGGTAAATGAGTTTGTTTTTTTTTTAATTTTGCTCGGAGGGTAAATTACAAAATCAAAGACTAATTTTGCCAAAAAAGCACAAGTAGTACGCGTTTAATTTTGCTTTGAGGTTGTTTTATTAGTTTCAAAGACTAATTTAATGTTTCAAAGACTAATTTATTCAAATTTATCCTTAAAAAGTATACTAAAAAAGAAAATAGGAAGAATATTTCTGGATGGAGGGATTATTTCCAAGTGTGAATAATGATGATAATATGTATTCTCTATTTTATCGAATAATTTGGATTCTTATTTTCTATTTTGATTGAATAGTATTTACTCCATTAAATATATATTACTTTTTTTTAACAAAAACCTTCATTAAGCATTTAACAAGGGAATATCAAAGCATTAAATAAATATGCATCACTCTGTTTTGTGTTTAATTAAAGTAATTGATTTGCTAAAATTAGAAAAAATAAAAATAATATTGTCTCAAATAGTAAGTTTGTGATATTTGTGACCATTTTGTTTGCAAACTAAGTATTTTTATTTATTATTTTACGTACGGTGTAATTTTTTTAGATTTTTATTTCAAACTCTCTCTGTCCCACAAAACTTTTTTCTTTTCTTTTTTCATTCGTCCTAAAAAACTTTTCTCACTTCTATTAAAAAAAATCAATTTTATTCCTACTAATTCTTAACCTACCTATCATATCATAGTTTTTCACTACTAATCTACTTACTACATCTACTTTTACCAATCACACTCAAATACATTTTTTAGAAACTCAATACCAAAATACACTTTTCTTAAATTATTTAAAAATAAAAACAAACAATATTTTGTGAGACAGAGAAAGTAATTTATTGGGACACCGCCCCAAACCGCTATACTCTTTTCTAGTATGTGCCACCCCGACAATTACAACATGGCTCGGCCACTGCATAATGTCACATTACAAACTTTTATTCTGGAATAAAAATATAAACTCTTATTTTGAAAATAAATGTTGCATTTCATTCTTATTTAGAGTAAGGGGCTGTTTGTTTCAGCCTCTTAATGATTCAGATGTCTAAATGGTTCAGCACGTAATGGTTCAGACTGTTTGTTTCAGCATCTTAATGGTTCAGATGTCTGAATGGTTAAGAGATTTGCCTCTGAATGGTTAAGTATTATACAGAGTTTAAATAGTTAAGAGCTCTTATCTGAATTGATTAGACATTTGCCTCTGAATACTTAAGCAATATACTAGCTCTTAATGGTTCAGACCTCTTATTGGTTCAGCACTTAATGGTTCAAACCTCTTACTGGTTCAGCACTTACCTATTCAGAAATTGCCAAACAGCCCCTAATTTTTTGACTTGATGTAGTTTTAAATATGTAACTAGCCTGCATTTTCTATTTTTATAACAATTTTTAATAAATGAAATTTAAAAACAAGGCCAGCCCAAGGGTGAGCCAAGGTACCCTTCCGACATAAACTAATTTTTTTTCGGGGCCCAATATTTTTAAATTTTTAATATAAAATATTAAATTACTCACTCTGTCCGTCATAGATCTTTTCGTATACTATTCACATGATTAAACTTTACTCATTTTGTTTGCTTATTTTTACTATTCATTTTATAAAATAATATAGTGTTGTCACCTCCAATTTTGTAAAACTTTTTATGTAGTTTTTTAGAATATAAATTTTATTTTTAGATTTTATTCCTATAAATAAATAAATTAAAGTGAAAATAAAGTGGGTCGAGCCTCGTAACGTGTAATGGGAAGATCTTAGATAGACGGAAGGAATATATTTTTTTAATAAAAAATTTTAAAACTTAAACTTTTAAGGTAGCAATTACCATATTTTTATTATAATACTACAATTTTGTTATGTACTCCGTATTATTCAATACTGATGGGTATATCCTTATACTTGACCCGGATAACCGAAAGGGACAGGTCAAAATATGACCGGTCACTTTTATCAATCACCAAATGAAGTTAACTCTTCGATTGGGACGGGTCAAAAATTGACCGGTCGCTTCCACTAAAAAAGTGTCCGGTCACATTTTTGGCGACAGCCAAAATATCACCTAATGTTGTGAAGAATTCAAGAAGACCAAAGAGACGGGTTGAGCTCAAGAAATGACCGGTCAACCTTTGAGAAAAAGGTGACCGGTCATATCATCTTACTTGACAAACATTGGTCCAGTATCTCAGGCATGGTGAACCACGTCAAAGATCGAGGGACCACCCCGCCGTTCGTCCATCACAAGACAAACAGTGAAAGGGATGTTTGTCACTTTGCAGGGCTGATTGGATTGAAAATATCCATCTATAGTCTTTGATTGAACAGTACATGTCTTGGCTTAGAGTTGCTAAATTCTATGATTGTACAGTGCTTCCATTATCTACAGTGACCTTCCCACGAGCTTCTTATTTTGTCCATGGATGAACAGGGGAGGGTCACAAATCCTCCTCTATAAATATGATGATATTTGATAGAGAAGGGTGTTGGGAAAAATATTATAGATTTTGATGATGATTTATTTAGAATGTAATAGGGACTTTAGGTCTCCCCCAATATTCAATGTAATGTTTCTTTTTAGAAATATTGTTAAAACCAAGTTCTTGAGTTTTCAATAAAACTATGATATTTCTTTAAGCGTTTTGATGCCTGAAGACTTGATCAAATTCAGTGATATGAAAATTGGATATCTTAATCGGAAGTGTCAGAGACAAGTGAGGATTTCTCAATCAGATAAAAATCCTCAGATCTGGAAGACTACATAAAGACCGGATGTCTCGCTACAACCCGCTGAAGGCTAAGTCATTCAAATCGGAAGACTAGCGCGGATCTCCTTCTCACCCGGAAGTCTGAAAAAGACTCATCCGGATTTGTCAGCTAAGAATCAGAAGACTCACCAAAGACCGGAATTCTCAGAAAGCGGACAAGTGAGAAAAAGCTTAGAAAATCATCTAAGTCCTGAATGAAGAAATTCTACCCGTGGCAAGGAAAAATCAATCTCTTGATTTTCAACGGCTAGAATGAAGATAATTAGGCTGATTCAAGAACAAATTACTCGAAGACAAAGTCTGGGTCTCTAAAA